ATAATCTGTTTGCAAATAGTGATTTTAATTATATAATTGCAGCAGCATGTGATGGACAGCAATACTTACAATAATTAATATAGTACAATATCTGCATTGATACATGTACAGGATACATAGACGTAGGGGAGCGCGGGGCACAAAGTAACGCGGGGTAAGTTGTAACACATGTGGTTTAAATATTTCCACACATGCTAGCATATCCAAATTTAATAAAGAAAAACGTATACACTGTAATTATGAAACAAAGCAACATATTTGTACTAGACAAGTGTAAAATTACTGTGGATAAAAAATTATACTCTGAACCCCATGTGGATTTACACAATTTGAGAAAGTCAAAAAGTGTTACTTTGTGCCCCGCTCTCCCCTACTGTTTTCATAAAAAAAAGCATTAAGAACATCTGCCTATATTGACATGCCTATTAATAAAGATATATTTATGTTGAGATGTAGACTGTATATACAGATTTGCATTTATATACTCAAGATTTATAAATATACATTCTGATTTACAATTAGTCAGAATAATAACTATATTCACAATTTACATTTATATATTCAAACTTACAACTACATTTTCGGATTTAATTCTATTTATTCAGACTTTTAACTATACGTTCAGATTAACCTCTATACATACAGTATATTCATGATTTACATTTATATATTCAGTTTTTATCTATATATTCAGACTTATAAGTACATATTCAAAACTATATATTCAGATTTACTTCTATATATCCATGATTTACATTTTTTTTATATTACAATTTGTATATATACATATATTTACATATTCATGATGTTCCAGAAATACTTCCAAATCATTGATCCCTTGCTGTGCAAATGCAGTCTGATGAAACATTAATGAGCCAATTTAATAGTCCTGTCCTTCTGTCCTTTTGGGCAGACACAAAATGGCTGGAGGGTCTGAGTGCAAGAACACTGTGTTTATCCAGAATATCTGTTTATTGTGTATTTCATTACACTTTTTTCCTGCTAGAGGACCCACTTGAGCCCAACTACAACTTTACAACCTCTGTTCTCGCACCCAGCCTCAATATATCCATGACGCACTGACTTGGGAACATTAGTTAGACAGACAGACCGTTATCAGCAGGGCACATTGTTGTGAAAATCAGCATCCAATAAATCTGTCAGCTGACTCCTAGCGTGATTTTGATTGGAAATCCAGGGAAAGATGCCAGAATATCTTCCCCAGATTAATAAAGGCAGATTAAGTCTGGGATAATTCCCAGACTTAATCTGGGAATTATTGGGAATTATTACTCCTCCTCACATCCAGTTTGGCGCATTGATCCAGGCTAATTAAGGCTTGGACATGATCCCATAAAAAACAAATATCTCAGTTTGATTGAGGATAATATAATGAGAGTCAGCTCAATTAAGGCCTTCAGTTCTCATCCCTAAACACTTCAGTTCTCATCCCTAAAATGGCACTTCTGGACTGGAATAATTATAAAGAGGAGTGCGCATGCCCTTGATGTGCCCTTCATTTCTACACCATCAGTCTAAAATCTCTTTGCTGGGATCACTCCGCTGACCCATGATGTATTGATTTTTCAGGTGCCTTGACAAGAGAGAGAGATAACCTGGACAGGTTGTCCTTGGACCCCAGAAGCCTGAGCCCAAGAAGGGCTCGTCGCCTGTGATCAGAGAGCATATACAATTTCCATTCTCTTCCATTCAGCTGACCACCTGATGTATAGTTTTTGTCAGCAGCTGGAAAATCAATTGATGTTGAAAATAATAAACAAAATAATAAAGTGTGATAAAACTATTAGGGTACAACGAGGCTAAAGGCGCCCCGGGGCAAAAGGCGCCTTTGATATTATTTTCATCTAAACCACTAGATGGCACAAAAACGGGACGTAGCACTTTCATCCACTTTTCAAGATGCACGTGTATTTTTGTCTGATCCTTGACGCGAACGCGTGCAGCAGTGCAAAGTAGATTCTGTGCTTACTTGATCTAATATTTTATGTTTTTAAAAATGTTGTAGATTTAAGTAGCAAATGAGAATCGCTAAAATTAATGCATATGTTTTGAGACAAAGGTCTTCTTTATGATTTTCAGTTTTGTTTAAAATAATTAAAGCAACAGTTTTTAAATAACGAAAGAAATTGTAAAAGTACGGTATTTGGGGTACTGCTGTTGGGGCTAAAGGCGCACGGTAATTAACATGATAATTAATAGATGGCTGACTTTTCCATTTGTTGACATGACATGGTTAGATTCAGATGGTAAATATAATATATTATGTTGGGTGTCCATATTAGAGATAATCACCATGTTTAGAATGAAACCATCATATTTAAAAACATGACATTAATCATATCATATAATAAAATATCATTTGTTATTTCTACTGTAAATATATATTCAATTATTATTGGATCTTCTTCAATACTTTCAGAATCTTTACTTATTAAAACGATTTTGTTTCTGTATTTTAAAATATAATTTTTTTTATATTAACATATTTTAATGACAGTATATTTATTGAAAAAATATATTGTATTTTTCAAAATAAGCAGAAAATAGTACAAACTTTGCTAAAGTTATTGTTTTGAACAAGTATTAACTTATTACATTCTAAATTAAATATTTAAAAAACATTATTTTAGCTGAAGTATTTGTATCAATACCGTGTGCCTTACCCCATGCTGGTTCAATACAACGTATATATTTTTTCTGCAATTATACATCTTAGTACGCAGT